ACAAGTAAAAATTTAACCCTCTCGTCCACAAATGTTATTTGTGGAATTAGCTTATCTCATGACATTTGAAAAACTACCCCACAAATTTTGGGGGCACTGTACCAACAAATGTTTGATAATAGGTCCATTAAGTCATAGTTAGCTGTAATAGTAAGACACATGATAGCAAATAGCCAATGACTTGGCTTTGCCAGTACAGTAGGCCATTAAATCTGTAAAAAAAAAAAAATAAAATAAAAAATATACCTTGCTAATTATAGGGTGCATTTTATGACCTGGGAAATACAGTGGTCTGTAGTGTTGACTCCTCTTGATCCCTGGCACACAGCCACAGATTATTTTATTTATTTTCCATGGCAATTCGTGAGTTTCCGAGGGATGCAAGCTTTAAAACCGTGAGTTTTAGGAATTCTGTACACCCCAGGTATAGAACACTAAATGATGATATAAACATGACATCTGTAACCTGTTTCTGCCAGTGGTTACTTGGGAAACCCTGGTCTAAACCATCGGAAAAACACACTGCTCAACTTCGAGCCGTGGTGGGTCGAAACTACAGAGTGACCTCAATCAATACCATTTTAAATTACAAACTGGTTTTTTGAGTGGGATTTCCGGCCGAATAATCATCGGCAATTAAACCAGGATTCACAGAGACCGAGTTGGTTTTATTGCGATTCTGGTCAGGATGGCTGTAGGCATTACACCAGTCAATGTTGAATGCTATACTTCTCTCTTCTTTAATTGTCTTCTGATACTCTGAGATGTTCCACTTCTCGTAAACATATACTGTAATTATATTAAGAATGCGTTTAGCTTGGATCAACATTTATTGAGATTTATACCTGACACAAACAGTACCATAGCTGTTAAACATTGATGTGTTTGTTTTCTTAAATAAATTTATAATATAATCAGATTTTAACTTCCTTGTAGCTCGCCTTAATTCCGCATTATCAATAAAATGTAAAATTTTTCTGCCAGAAGTACAGGTATACCCCCCCAAAACTTAAGCCCCAATAACTGCCACTTCAGATAAACGACGCTTACACATGGGGAAAATACCCCCACAAAGTTTCATTGATATCCCGGAGATCCGACAATCAGGAGAGGAGTGGCAGAGTTGTTTTGAATTTGGCAAGCAGTGGCCTGCTGAGAATTCTTGCCACGAGGGGGCTCTGCACGCTGCCTCCGACTCATTCCTATCATCTTTGCCCTTACCATGTGTGACTTTTTTCCACTTCATGTGCTTTGCAATCTTGCCTAATCACCCCAGTGATACAGGGGTAACTCTTGTGTTGCCCATCCTAGGGGCAGCTTAATGTGATGTGGTAAGGTGTGGTAAGTGATGGACCAGCAATAATTGGTAGAGAAATAATTTTTTTTCATTATTTCCAACTTAGTGTTAATCGTGCCTATATGCCCCATTAATAGTAGTTCCTCTTGTGCTGCCCCCTTTACGGACAGCTTGATGTGATGTGATAAGGCATAATAAGAGTGGTGATGGACCAGCCAAGTTTGGTAGACTTGAATTTGCCATCCTAGACCATCTCTGCCATCCTCAACACAGGTAAATAAATCTCAATTTATGCTTTATATTGCTTATTTAAGGATTATTATGCTTGCTTTATATGTCTGCTTTATTTTCTTGCTTGACAGTGTACACAAATGATATATCAAGGGTAGATGGGAGTTTTTGAAGAGTAGCCATTCCCTAACCTCCTGAATTTGTTATGTTCTTAGGGGATTAATTGCTTCGATAACTATTGATTCACTAACCAACGACTTTCCCGTCCTTATGAGTTGGTTATCGGGGTACATCTGTACTTAGTTTTATTGTAGATCCAGGTCAAATAACCAGAAGCAATAAAATATTAAGCAAAGCATTCTGGTCAGCAGTACTCAGTAGTTCATTCTTGCTAAAATCATAGTACAGGGATTTTGGGGGTATTATTGCTTTTAATTGCCCCGCAACATTTTGCCTTTTAAACATATGTATCATGTATAGATAATTTTAAAACACTTTTTACTTTTCATCGGAAACACGTGATTACCGAGATAAAAGGACCTAGCTCAACCCTTCCTATTCCTTATGAATAGGGTAGCTTCTGATGGCAAACCCTGGGGGGTCCAGGTGGCAAAGCCCCCTGGCTAGGGCCACTGGGGTCTGGGGTGAAGCCCCAGGTCAGGTTAGGTCCCTATATGGGTCGGTTATTGGGGTACAACTGTACTTAAGTTTTATTTTAGATCCAGGTCAAATAACCAGAAACAATGAAAAATTAAGCAAAACATATTCTATACTATTTCCACGCCAACCTGGCCCATAAGCCACGCCCCTCATCTATTGCTACAATTAGCTGATTGGTTCAAAGAAAATGTTCATGCAGCTGTTCATTTATTCAACCTATATGTTCACAATTGGTAAGCAGACCTGTTATTCTCTAAAATAATGTTAAATATCCGGACTATCAGAATAAAAATGATTTAAGGCATTAGCACTTCAGAGAGGATGTTAGAAAATTTTAAATATTAATCAAAGGTTAAAGTCAAAGATAAAATTTGCTTTCGAAGAATTTTTTTCATTATTTCTTTTTGTACCAAACAAAGCAAACAAACAAATAACAAAGATATAGACACAATAGGTAATGAGGTAATGATATACAGTTTGTATGGCTGGATATATCTCAAATCATTTATATAACTGATAAAACTTTATATAAATATGCACAGTTCTGAAGGGATAAAACACCCAGGAACAGCCACTGGAATCGATCACCCGTCAATGTGGCCGTGACGTTTTATCAGTTATATAAACGATTTGTGATACATCCAGCCATACAAACTGTATATCATTACCTATTGTGCTATATCTTTGGCATCATGTGTTTGTTTGCTTTGTTTGGTACAAAACAAAGAAATAATGAAAAAAATTCTTCAAAAGCAAATTTTATCTTTGACTTTGACCTTTGATGCTCAATATTTAAAATTTTCTAACATCCTCTCTGAAGTGCTAATGCCTAATTTTTTTATTCTTATAGTCCGGATATTTATTATTTTAGAGAATAACAGGTCTGCTTACCGATTGTGAACATATTTAGTTTGAATAAATGAACAGCTGCATGAACATTTTCTTTGAACCAGTCAGTTATTTTTATAGAGGGGCGTGGCTTATGGGCCATGTTAGCGTGGAAATACTAGTTAGCAATACTCAGTACAGAAGTTCATTCCTGCTAAAATCAGACACAGTCCAGGGATTTTTGGAGGTATTAATGCTTTTAATTGCCCCACAACGTTTGGTTTTCTTTTAATATACCAACTGTGTAGTTTGGATAATTTTAAAACTTCTAATATGACATTTTTGTTGGAAACAAAGGATTACCAAGATACAGGGACCCAGCTCAACCTTCCTATTCTTCACTTAATAGGTTGTTAGGTTAGATTCTGATGGCAAACTCAAAACCCTGCTCTAGCAAGTCCGTCCAGCACCATTCTTTTGGCAAACTCTGCTTCACCTCAAAAAACCTGATTCCCTTCGAGTCCCCCAATATTGTACTAGAACAACAAAATTAAGTTTTTTCCGGTTTTTGGCGAGTTTTGAACGATTATGACCTTCATTTCCGTCGGAAATCACTCGCTTTTGGGAGGGGTAGAGGAGGCGATATCTCTCAAACAAGTTAGTTCAAAACTTGCCAAAATCCATCGGAAAACATTTTGTTGTCCTAGTGGGGTGGGCAATTAAAAACTTACCTTTTTTTTGTTTGATGAAGGCCAAAACTTACAACTGCAGCAAATCTGCATTCTATGCAACAAGAGATACTGAATGTCTGGGTGAAAACTCTAAAGAATGCAAAATGCTAAGGCCACAAGCCTAAAGAACACCACTTGATAGGAATATTTAGTTGTATATTGACTTTCACTTTATACAATACCAAACTTTGTATTACAAGCAGACATGGTTTGGAATATGGCTACTCCCTGAGCAGTGATGTAAATCGAGGGTAAAACACAAATTGGGGCTAGTAAAGTAATCTCACATAACCTCAGCATTTTTTTGTTACACATCAATGCACTAGCCATGCAGGTGTACAGCAGTGAAGTGTCATTATCATAACCACATTCGCAACTGTAGGATTCTTCCTAAAAACCTTCAAAATTTGGATATGATACAATATAGTAACAGAAGAATTAGTAGTCTGGACTAGTTACCCCTCAGTGTTCTAACATTTCCTGTTTGATGACTCATGTTTAGTCTTATAATAAAGGCCTACTTCTAAAGAACTTCCCAGCGATTTTCCATTTTAAATCACTGGCAAGCAAATAACAATATGGTCAAATGTATACCTTATAATTTCATAAACGTATTCTCTGGCCTAATTAGGAACTTACATCCCCCTGTCAAGGTCAAGCTATCCTTTATGTTCATAAGAAATAGATTTTATAACCCAAGATATTCTACACTATTAATAATTTAGGAAGACGTCTTCCATAATAATATGACATGTTATGATGGGTTACCATAGATGCAATGGCTGGAAGGTGTCATGATACCTAATAGGGTCCTCCTCCCTGTGACTCCATTATAATCTAAGGTCCTATAAACAATATTAATATTTTGTATGGGGTTGTATATTCTGACACATACTGTAAGTATGTGATGGGCGTGCGGGCAGGAGGGTGCAAGTAATTGTGTGCACGCCTGCGCCGCCCGCCCGCCTGCCTGCACGCCCAAGTGTAGCATAATCACCCTCACTCCCATCACGGCTGTCATCTACCACGTAATACAAATTTCACATTACCTTTGTACCGAACTCTATCACTGCATTAAGTGCACGTTTCATCAAGATGAGCAGAAAATTCCAGAAACATTGACAAAATAGACTTGCTTCAGCCGTCAAATTTCATTTGAAGTTTTCTCAGATACTATTAAACATAAGATATTTATGAGAGCCCGAACAAATGCACATACGGCCTGCGTAACTGATTTCATGAATCGAGCTTACCTTATTAATTCTTTTTAGTGCCATAACTCTCTGTAAATGTAAGCTTTGACCACAGACTGTGAACTTCACTCACACACTGCACGAACCAAGATGGTAGATGGCGGAACCTGCGCGGAGGAATACTCTCACTCACCTACATTTAATATATACGTTCATTTTAACAACTTTTTTGTTAATATAAACCAAAAAATATTATTATTTGCTTATTTATTGGTTTAAAATTCTACTATCTAAAAAATTCATGAAAATTATATATATTACGAACTACTTTGCAGTAGGTTCTCGGCAGCTATCTCAGCTGACGATATCATTTCCTGTGAAAAACAACTGCAGGAAAAGAATGATTCAATTGAAACATATCATTAAACTTTAGTAATTTAGTATGAATTGCGTTTATATGAAATATTTTATTACATAAGATGTGTTTGCTACAGCTTTCATAAATGAATATAGTATGTCGGATTTTTAGGTATAATTATGTCATCAACAAGCGGGAAGTTTAAACAACCAATGACGCATAATGACATCATTACTTGTAGCCCCACAGTTACTCTAAATCATAAATTATACATAGAGTTTTTTCGTCATTGCACGTTTGTGTTAATTCTTCAAACTCATTTACCAAAACCAAAACTTCGTGTTTTCTTTTTCCTTGTGGTTATCAGCCTATACCTGGATCACGCGCATCTACAGTGATTTACTTGTATATATATATATATATATATATATATATATATATATATATATATATATATATATATATATATATATATATTATATATATATATATGATAAATCAAAGGGGAACAACAGATTTTTAGCTGTTCTTATTCAAGACATCTTAGTTCTGAAGATGTCTTGAATAAAGACGAAAGCTAAGGTACCTGTTGTTTCTTTTCCCGTGTGATTTTATCAAGATTTATCTTATCCACGTTTTCTCTGGGATCTACATGATATATATATATATATATATATATATATATATATATATATATATATATATATATGTGTGTGTGTGTGTGTGTGGTGTAATCGCTCATAGGAGCGATTTTGGTTGTGCAGGACGATAAGACCCTTGTCGTCGACGCGATGAGTATAATTCGGTCAAAAGCTGTTAAAAACAATTCACATATAACATCTGCTGGTATATCAGGACACACAGTTACAACTGCTGATACATCAGGACACAGTTTGTATAATATGATCAATATACAGTACATAAATACACTTACTAAAGTTATTTAGAGTTCTTAGAGGATTTAATAGTTCACAATCACACTCACGTTTTGGAGTCTAGGGTTAGACCAGCGAGAACAAATATAATATCCTCCAGGAAGATGCTGTCTCTCTACGGTAGAAGGCGAGACTGGTCCTCAACCAGTCACACAGCTACTACCAGCTCCATCTCTTTTAGTAAGCTTTTCTGAGTTGTAAACAGTTTCTTCACTCAACATGTGGCCTGCACGTGGCGATAACACTCCCTGTCGGGCTTTTGCTCGAAATCACGGCATATCAATAGACTCACTCTCAGACCCCTTCCAACAGGCAGAGTCTCGTCACTGGCGCATTAACACTGAGTCCTTTGTCTTCACTTTCACATTTTGCACCAGGTCATCTTTGCTCGGCAGAGCCTCCATTCCCTAGCATCCACAAACTCCTGGGGAGGGGTGTGTGGAGATGATCACGATATCCCCAGCGTGGAGATTATGGCAAGTTTTGAAGAACCTTTGTCGCTGACGTAGTGTTGGGAGATATTGCTTTACCCACCTCTTCCAAAATTGGTCCGCAATGAATTGGGCATGCTTCCATCTTCGTCGGTACGCTTCTGCCATATACCGATCGCCTCCCGGTGGACAGTGTTCCAGGTTCATCCGTAGTATGTGAAGCGGCGTTAGTGCTTCTAGATCCTTTGGGTCGTCAGACACTGGGATGATGGGCCTTCTGTTGATGATCTCTTCTATGGCGCAGAACACAGTGTTGAGGCGCTCATCGTCTAGTGTCTGGTGTGAGGGCGCGGGTTCCCTCTCTATCTATCTACACCACCCTCATCTTACTTATTTCTTAGTATTACTCACCTCAGTTCCGTCACCTATTCTTGTGGTAGCATGGACATTCTTTGGTAGCATGGTCGAGGTCTAGGCACATGGGTATGGTAATTTGGTATCAAGTCACTTGGATGGAAATAAAGGTAAAATACTGTGGGAGAAAGGAATACACCTAAGTACTCTTAAAACAAGTTTATTAATATGCAATCAATGGGGAAAGATATTGTATTAATCATATAACTACCAGGCTCACCTCCTGGGCTTATTGCAGACTCAGTTCCTACATTCTTTACTCTTACTCACAACATTATTGATGTTACATTACATGGCACTCATTGAAGATTATTTTACTCAACATACGTTAATACTGACACTAACATATATAGGGGTCCACTACTCAACATGGGATAATTATTTAACTAATTATCCCTAACATACATGTTACAACACTCTGTGGACATACACTTCCAAGGAGTAACCCAGGGTAGAGCACTGGAGCTCACGACTGTTGTATAGGGGTAGCCAGACACATGGAGGGTCTGGGGTCTGGCCCAACGAAGCCGTGGCACATTAATCAGGCCGCATCGGTGCCATCGTTTCGTATATGATCCCTGCTGGTTATTTACTACATCCGGGGCCGTTGTTGAATGGTTGCAAGAATCACAATGGGATCTGGAGAAACATGGAAGCAGCGTCAGGGAACATGACAACACAAACAACTCTCTTGTCTAGACGACAGACGTATTTACGTTATATTACTTCTACACTGGGTGAATGACAATTCAACTGTTAAATCATGAACACTGGTGAACACTGATATTCACTACAATTGACTGAATTAACTGAATGGCTACACAAAACATACCTGGAGAAATATTGGAGCAGCGTCAAGGAGCATTCTCCCTGGCTCGTCTTAGGGTATATATACCCCTGAGTTGCCAGTGATCGCTACCCCCGCAATGACAATAATTACAAACACACTAACTGTTACTCATTCAAAGATGACCCTCAGTTGACAAAGGTCTGGCGAATTACTTGAGTTGATTTACACAGACTAATTCAAGATTGAGCTTCCCAGGAGAAAGTGGAATAACAACGCAAGGACAACTGTCTTCACAAAGCGGACTCTGGGAGGAACACAAATGTAGCGTCTATGGGGAAAAACACTTCTTCTCGGGGTCGCTAACTCACTCATGTTTTGCGGTCGTGGAGTTTAATAAGAATCATTAGTTAAATAGATCAGCAGTCAACGTGACCATGACACCGGCATGGGTGCCCACCACTCCCCTGGGACCTTCCTTACAGTGCGGGTTGTGCCACACTCCTCCCATGTGAGGCTGTCAGTTGAACTGCCATTCTATCTGTTTTTGTTTCTGTAGGAAGGCATTCCCGACCTTGTCACTGTTCCAGTCGCTCACCGCCTCTCATGGCTTCTCAGCTCCATTCCATGTTTGGTTCTGTCAGACCAGATAAGCAGGAGGTCCTACAGCAGAGTGAATCTTGTCAGGGCATTGACGAACGAGTCCGAGGTGTCTAGTGAGATGAGGACTTCTAGGTGTATGGCTCTGGTGGTCAGGCGGTGGTGAGTCCCCATCTCTTCATGGGCTCATTCTTGTTTTAACTGCAAAGGGCCGAAGCAATCAATTCCAGTGTGGGCAGGCAGCTGGCCTCCTGGGCGCCTCGATCTTCTGGCAGGTCAGCCTGGCGTTGGTGTATGTGAGCCTTGAGTCGCTGCGACAAGTCACACGTCAGTGGCCGCTGGGTGGAAGTAATTTGCGGCATAGGTATCAGTATGTCTCATATTATGGCAGGTGTGTTCTCGTCCTGGTGTCAGCTCTGGTCAGGTGTACCTCTCAAGATGAGCCCCGTGATCCTGTTGTCCTTGGCAACAGTGGCAGGATCTCTGTGGTCTGGATGGAGAGCGGCATGTGTTTCAGTCGGCCACCTCTCTCATCAAACCGTCCGTGTCTGGAATGAGGTTCCAGCCGAATTACGTCGCTACCTCACGGAAGGTTGTCCTGTTGTAATATTCCTAGTTCTCCGAGGGAATCCTTTCTTTACATAAATCTTAAGACGGTTAATTCCCTCTTTGATTCCCTACATGTTGGAGCCGATTGCCGCCGGTGATATTTCTTTGCTTTCCAAGCCGCTATTCTATAAACCTTCTAATCACGCTCGGCTCTTCGAAGTCGATGCCACGAGAGTACCTGGCCCAGAGCTTATTGGTGCACCTCCCCTGGTCAGCATTCGTCGTCAGCACTGTGGTTTCCTTCTTCACCTCTGGGTCTCCGTCTGTGAGGTCTGGGGTCTCAATGAACTCTTTGGTCGCTGTCTTCTTCCAACAAGAGGAAAGCAGGTCCTCGAATCCACCTGCCCTCCTCGTTGAGCTCTGCTCCATGTAGTCCACGACCAGCGTCGTCGGCCAGGGTTAGTGCCGACATCACGTGGAGCCATTGTTCTGCATTGGAGTCCTCGTGTATCGTTGCCACTCGATTGGCCACGAAGGAATGGAAGCGTGTTTCGGTGTTTCATATGTACTGAAGGACTGCCGTACTGTCTGCCCAGAACACTGATCTGTCTATATGTAATTCAAGCTCTTGCCGTAGTTGTTTGCCTGCCTTGGCAGCCAGTACTGCCGAGCAGAGCTCAGGTCGAGGTATGGTCTGCTGTTTCACAGGGGCTAGCTTGGCCTTGCCACACACGAAAGAGATATGCTGGGTTCCATCTTCACATGTGGTCCTCAGATACGATACAGCTCCATATGCTTGTTGGGAGGCATCGCAGAAGTGGTATAGTCGCACGGCAGCCACTGGATTCGCATCCTTGGGTCGGTAGCACCGTGAAACATGAATCCGTGATAGGTGAGGAAGTTCATCCAGTCATCTTTGCCATGCCACCCTTATCTGTTCAGCCATTCGTTCATCCCACCCAACACCTCGTCTACACTCATCTTGGAATATGATTTTGGCTCTTATGACGCTCGGAGCGATGAGTCCCAGTGGGTCATATATGGAGCTAACCATACTCAGAAGCCCTCATTTCGTCTCTGGTTTCTTAGGGATCTGGACCCGGACCCCTAGTTCGTCCTTTTCCAGGTCCCACAAAATTCCCAACACTCGTGCAGTGGGGGGCCTGTCGTCTTTCAAAATTACTTTCTTTACTCCCAAGGCTTTCTCTGTCTGTGGAATTGCATTGAGGACTTCCTTGTGATTACAGACCCACTTCGTAAGTCTGAATCTGCCCTTCTTCATCAGCTGTCTCAGCCGATGGGTAATTATCGTTGCCTTCCACGGCGAATCTACTGAGAGAAGCAGATCGTCGACATAGAAGTTACGATTCGTTTCTTGATGTCGTCATGGAGACTTTCCCTGTAATTTTGGAATGTTCGTTGCAGCGCATACCCGGCACATGAAGGACTCCACACACCTCCAATGAGGTGTACTGTCATTCGGTAAGTGGTGGGGGCTCCTGACAGCTGGTAGTCCGTCCACCATAAGAATCGTAAAACATCTCGATGTTCTGGTAATACTCGCACTTGGTGGAACACTGCCTTGATATCAGCCATGAGTGCCACCTTTCCTTGTCTGAATCTGATGAGGACTCCCATCAATTTGTTGTTAAGGTCTGGCCCTTGCATCACCTGGCTGTTCAACGACATCGACCCAAATTCGGCTGCACAATCAAACACTATTCTCACGTTTTCTGGCTTGTTGGGATTCAACACAGGGTGGTATGGGATATACTCGCTCAGCATGAACCATGCGGCTGTCTACAAAGTTAAGAAGAAAACCCAGAAATTCAAGATGTGGTGTACCGCGCACATCATTGTCATTCCTACAAACCCCCTTTAATTCATATTACGCTACATAACATTAAATCCACCGTGCTTGTAGAATCTCAGAAAACGGGAAACGTCCATGAACGATTGGTAAACATAGCTCCCACTGCTGGGCGATGGAACTATAACAGAACATTGATTTGGAAAAAGGATAAATGTGTCAAACTATGTGAAGCATTGGAAGTGAGCCAGAAACTATACCTGAAAGGAAATATCTTGTATGCATCTGTGTGAACTTAATACACCTCATTATCTCGTGTGACGATACCCACGCCGGAACGCGTCGGGAATACTGCATTGATATTATAACCCAATGAATTTACCCAGGAACTAGCAAACCAGAACCTTACCTTAGTGTGTAATTTAGGATTAAGATGTGTATTTATAAAGCATAAGGTCACAACAGATAGGAAAATGGAGATGTGAGAACCACAAGAATTCAAAGTGAAAATTAAAGATTGGAAACTGTAGGCCTTGACAGAGAGGAGCGCGGGAGTTGGGACATCGCCCTTAGTGATGCCTTGACTTCTCCCAACAAAAGTCAGTGCCCTTCATCATGCTTTATTTAGTCCTAAGAAAACTTATCTAGCAGTTTGTACATCTTAAAACCTTGCCTGATGTTATAAAGTGAAGTCATAGTGTACTAGTGTGTGGTGACGAAAGTCCCTCAGGCATTATTCTTAGTGATGCCTTGACTTCTCCCAACACAGGACGCGTCCTGAGCGCCTCTCGGGCGTCAGCCATGACCACACTGTGAAGGCCACACCATGTGGGGGGGGGCGTCTGCTCACAGTGGTCCTGCACCTCCACTGTGAATCTGTAGACACCCTACATATTGTAGTGGATCCTCTCCCTACAACTCCCAACTGAGCTCCGGCCGCGCGCCTACCAGCCAATCAGCGTACAGCCATACATGACATAAATGCTAGTGACAGGGGGAAGGAGGTTCAGGGGAAGGATAAAGGCATAATTGAAGTGAATTTTAGAAGGAGGTAAAGGTGCCGTGGCTAAACACAGCTTGCATGAGGGGGTTTAAGTTGGAGGCAGCGGCAACTCGCCTGGACGCGGCGAGGAGGCGGGAGGACAGAGTCCGGTGAGCTTCAGGTGCAAGTTGGGTTGGGCCATGGTTTCTCAGTACTTGGTCGGCTTGATTGTGTATGTTGTTTTCTTGTTTAGGGGAAATGTCTTGGTCTTCTGTCTTGGTATTCTTGTTAGCTTGAAGTTGATTTTCTTCTTACTCTCCTCCTCCTCTTGCTCTCCTGAAGTGTCCATTCATTCGTGTTTGGGTCTTGTTCTTCGTCTTCCTCATGTCTTAGGTCTTCATAGGTGTGGAAGAAGTCCGAGACGGTGAGGTTGACCACGTGGACTTCAGCACCTCGGGCCTCGTGGTGTTCTTAATTCTTTGTGACGTGTGTCTTTTCTTGGGTTTTTTGTATCTTGATTTTTCTTTTCTTCTGTTTTTTTTCTTGTCTTGGGCACGTACAGCAAGGAGGGCCTCTTTGTAGCTCAGTTTCTTGTTGAGTCGAGTCTTGACTATCCTGCATTCCTCCTTCCATTTGGGGCAGGTCCGATCGGCGGAGGAATGTGGGCCGCCACAGGCAGCGCATTTTTCCACTGTGTTGGGGCAGACAGTGTAGAGGTGTCTGGGGCTGCCACACAGGGAGCAGGTGTCCTCCAGCGCCTCACACTTGTTGACTGTGTGACCATAGTGCTGGCATTTGTAGCAGCGTTTCGGTCTGCAGTAGGGCTTGACTGGCACAGTTACCCACGCTAGTTGAGCCTCCTTGGGTAAGGTTGCATGGTGTCCGATGAGGGCAGTGGTGTCGGACAGCTTCTTGACAACTTGGAGTTGCCCCTTGAGGAGCTCACTCAGCTCTGCTTGGTCCACGTGGGCAATTTCGGCGTGGGAGATTACTCTCAGCTTCAGGTTGTCCCACTTGTAGGCAATTATTTTTATTGGAATCCCGTTGATGTCTGGGATCTCCGCGAGCTGTACGGGCATACCCTTCTCGGCGAAGGTGATCTTGATGTCACCATGGAACTTCAGTCGTTCCACCTTGGTGACCCCCATGATCCCATTAGTTTCAAAGAACTTCTTGAGAATTAGGAGGTTTAATTTCTTGGGGCAGGTCGGCATATCTGGACGTATCCGCGCCACGTTGTCAAACTCGTAACCGTTCATGGTGAGAGAGGGTCAGAGAGTGTCTGTGTGTGAGGCTGGGGAGTATTTATGCGATTCTGCAGGATCAAGTAGAGAAGTGTGAAGTGAGCGGCGCTGCTGATTGGGTGAGGTGAAGGCGGTAAAGGCCAATCGCCGCGACGTCCAAGAGTGAGGCCCAGTCTGTGAAACTCGCTGCTGATTGGCTGGTAAGCGTACGGCAAGTAATCATCCTGTCCGCAGTAGATTACTCTACGGCACCAGAACTATATACAACCGCGGCAGACAGAATTTTCAACGAGTGCGGTGCTGCGCGCCTTGCCGCCGCGGACAACCCCACGATCACACCCCTCAGCCGAGCAATACCTCACAAGACATTAGGGACCTGCTGCAAACTTTGAACCGCAAGATGGACACCATTGAGCAGTTCTGCTCCTCCATACCCGCTGCTGGGCCAGTTCCTGACTCACGCACCACGCCCTACAAGTCCCGACGCACAGCAGCCAGCCCCCAGCACAACGAATATACCCTCTGCTGGTATCACCGGCGTTTCGGCCTCAATGCTCAAAACTGAGAGCCCCACTGCACCTACTCGGGAAACGGCAACAAGGGAGGCTGGTAGACGCCTCAGCCCCCGTCCCTTCAGGCGTCTCACTACTGCACGTTACCGACCGCACCTCTGGCACGAAGTTTCTCGTCGACACAGGTTCATCGGTCAGTATCATCCCTCCCTCACTACAAGACACGTCAAAGCAACCCTCTTATGACCTGTTCGCTGCCAACGGTACCCCCATCGCCTTCTACGGCGTACGCACCCTCGCCTTAGACCTCGGTCTGCCCAAGACTCTGCGTTCGTTATTCGTGATCACAGACGTGTCTCAACCCATCCTTGGTTTCGATTTCCTCACCTTCCACAAGCTCGGCGTCGACCCAAGCCATCTATGCCTCATCCATGAGCCTACAGCACGCAAGATCCAGGGTTCTCGTGCCAGACACACCGACACTATCACCTGTCTCGCGCCTTCCAACGAGTTCTCCTCCCTGCTCGACGAATTCAAGGAGCTTTTCTCACCTCGAGAATTTCTACCCCAACCACCTACGTCGGAAATTTTCCACCACATCGAAACCGAAGGTCCACCATTCTTCTCACGCCCTCGCCGCCTGCGCCCTGAGCTCCTGAACACAGCCAAAGCAGAATTCAACAAACTACTGCAAGAGGGCATCATCCGTCCTTCAAAGAGTCCCTGGGCATCGCCTCTTCACATGGTTCCTAAGCAAACACCTGGCGACTGGAGGGTGTGTGGCGACTACAGAGCCCTGAACCTCGTCACCAAACCTGACAGGTACCCCATTTCGCATGTCCAGGACTTCCACCACAAACTTCATGGCAAGACTATCTTCTCGAAGATCGACTTGGAGCGTGCCTTCCACCAGATCCCAGTAGCACCTGCAGATACCCAGAAGACAGCCATCACCACTCCGTTCGGACTCTTCGAGTATACTTTCATGAGATTTGGCCTGCGCAATGCAGCACAGACTTTCCAGAGGTACATGGAACATATGCTTCGCGACCTCGATTTTGTCACCGACTACATTGACGACATCCTCGTCGTATCTTCGACGCCTGCCGAGCACCGCCACCACCTACAACTCCTTCTCCAACGCCTGCAGAACAACAACATGAAAGTTCATCCTGCTAAGTGCGTCTTTGGAGCCTCGGCCATCGATTTCCTCGGTCACAGAGTCTCGCCCAGTGGCATACACCCCCTACCACAGAAGATAACCGCGATTAGGGTATTCCCCAAACCTGAAACGGCGAAGAAACTCCGAGAATTCCTTGGTTTAGTCAACTACTACCACCGCTTCATTTACAACGCTGCCACCATCCTAGTCCCCCTCTTCGACCTTCTCAAGGGACTCCCAAAGAAGTCTCACAAGCCTCTCGTGTGGACTCAAGAGGCTGTTGCAGCATTCACTGCTATCAAACAGCACATCACACGCCTCACCCTCCTGGCCCACCCTGCACCTAACGCCCAGACCACTCTCACAACAGACGCTGCTTCTACTGCAGTGGGCGCCGTCTTACAGCAGGAGATCAACGGAATTCTCACGCCCGTTGCTTTCTTTTCACAACGGATTCAACCACCACACCTCAAGTACAGCGCCTTTGATCGAGAACTCCTGGCCATATACCTGGCTGTCAAACATTTCCAGCAATTCCTCGAGGCCCGTCAGTTCACCATCTTCACTGATCACAAGCCCCTCGTCCACGCCTTCGCTTCAGCTTCCCAGTCACATACACCTCGTGACCTGCGCCACTTGGCTTACATCTCAGAGTTTTCCAGCGACGTCCAACACATTAAAGGCAGCCACAACGTGATCGCCGACGCCCTCTCTCGTTGTATATCCAACATTCTTCCCTCATCTCCACCCATTGATTATGGGCAGCTCGCCGCGGCTCAAGAGAACGACGAAGACCTGGCAGCATAGAAGACATTCCCCTCAGCCCTCACACTCCAAGAACTCCCTGTTCCTGGCACGAACATAAAATTGTGGTGCGACGTAGTCTGTGGGCAGCCTAGACCATTCATGCCTCACGTCCACCGCCTCGCTGTGTTCGACCTAGACCATTCATGCCTCACGTCCACCGCCTCGCTGTGTTCGACCGCATCCATGGTCTCAGCCACCCAGGTGTGCGGGCCTCCCAGCGCCTCCTCACGCAACGTGTCGTCTGGCCCGGCATCAAGTCTGATACTAAGAAATGGGCTGCCCAGTGCCTGGCCTGCTAGTCCTCCAAAATACATCTTCACATACGGGCCCCCTTAGAAACCTTACCTATTCCCAAAGGACGGTTTCAAGTAGTACACCTCGACATCGTGGGACCTCTTCCATCATCCTACGGTAGGACCTACATCTTCACCTGCATCGACCGTTTCACCAGGTGGACAGAAGCCATTCCCATGCCCAATGCTACAGCAGAGTCAACCGTCCGCGCCTTCATGTCCGGTTGGGTTTTCCGTTTTGGCCCCCCCGCAACCATCATCACTGACTGAGGAGCCCAGTTTGAGTCACAACTCTGGCAGGACCTCCTACAGTTCCTCAGCACGTCTAGGCAACGCACTACCGCATACCACCCTCAAGCGAACGGCATGGTAGAGAGGTTTCACCGGCAGCTGAAGGACGCACTCAAGGCACAGCACTACCCTTGCAGCTGGACTGATGCGTTTCCCTTAGTGCTCCTCAGCATCCGTGCGTCACACAAGGAGGATATGGACTGTAGCCCAGCAGATCTGACCCTAGGCAAGCCCCAAGGGATTTCTCACTCCCTCCTGACCTCTACCAAACCACTCCTGCCGTTCGACACGACTTACTCCAAAAGCTACGACAAGCAGTTTCTTCATTCAGAGCTACTGCTCCACGCCAGCCTCCTCGGCACCCTGAACACATCCCTCCTGCACTACTAACAGCCGAGTATGTTTTTGTCAGGCATGATGCTCACCGCAACCCACTACAACGTCCCCACGATGGACCCTTCCAGGTGGTTACCCTTTCAGCAAAGTTACTGACGATTATCCGGAATGGCAGACATGACATAGTCAGCATAGACCGAATCAAGCCGGCCACCTTACCCTTTGGGCCCCCTTCCCAGCAGCACCACCAAACAAATACGCCTGTACCAGTCTACCCGCAGTTACCACCATCAGCAACACCACGCCCACGACATTTCTGGGCACCCTCTTTTCACCCTCAGGTACCCCTTGCTTCTGTCCTGGACCCTGCTGCTGTTGTAGAACCTGCTCCTATCATGGACCCTCCACCTGTCATAGAACCTGCACCTGTCATGGACCCTCCTCCTGTCGTAGACCCTCCTCCCGTCATAGAACCTGTTCCTGTCATGGACCCTCCTCCTGACGTCGTCCCTGACTTGGTCATCCCAGTTAGAGACCATGAGGACGCAGCCCCTGCAGCGACAGAAGCACAACAACCATTCCCTGTACAACCTCCTCTAATCCAAAACCCTCCTTCTCCCCCTGATTTTCCCACAGGTTCTGTGCCACTAGACTGAGTTGTCACCCGCAGCGGCTGAGTCGTACGTGCACCTCTCAGGTATGTATCACGTGTGGTGATGCAACCCGGACAACACCAGTCTCCCGCCGCGCTGGGAGGGGAGGGGGAGTATTGTAGTGGATCCTCTCCCCTACAACTCCCAACTGAGCTCCGGCCGTGCGCCTACCAGCCAATCAGCGTACAGCCAGAAAACAGAAACAGAAAAATGCTAGTGACAGGGGGGAAGGAGGTTCAGAGGAAGAATAAAGGGAGGATGGAAGTGAATTTTAGAAGGAGAGAACAGGTGCAGTGGCTAAACACCGCTTGCGTGAGGGGGTAGGCAAAATGCCCTGAGGGTGCAACAATCACAATCAGGACGAGGCAGAGGGAGGGCGGGAGCAGGTCCGGGCAAGCAAAGGGCCAACGCGGGTGCTCTGGTTGTCGTCTAGCTTAGGCAATGTTGGCAAAGCGGAAGAAGAACCGCCCCGCCACGGCGGCGGTGCAAGCCGAGAAGCGCAGGTGGACGGACGCACAGGCCACACACGAACAAATTAACAGAGAAGGTGAAAACATGGAAATTTTGCTAGTCGTAGGGTTGTTTGGAGAAAGAAGAAGGTAAAGTCTTTGAGCTATGTCAAAGAGGAACAGAGCGAGTTGGAGGAAGGGTTTTGAATCTTTGAGCTTGAAATGTCAAAGTATTCATAGTAAGGAAGGATGAGCGTATCGTAGGAGAGTTTTTAGTAATAGCAGCAGACAGATTTGAGCTTTTTTGTCAAATTATGAACGGAGACGAGAATGAGATATAGGCTGAATGGTTTCAGTCTTGAGTTAGGTCGATTTTATTGAGAATTGGATGTCACAGACGTTGGGTATGTTTTGATTTGTTTCTGAGAGTTGTGGGTCTTTCAGCTATGTCAGAGAGAAATGGAGAGAGTTGGAGGAAGAGTTTTGAATCTTTGAGCTTGAAATGTCAAAGTATTCGTAGTAAGGAAGGATGAGTGTATCGTAGGAGAGTTATTTAGTAATAGCAGGGGACAGATTTGAGCTTTGTCAAATTGTGAACGGAGATGAGAGTGAGATATAGGTTGTTTGGTTTCAGTCTTGAGTTAGGTCGATAATGTTGACAGTGGCTGGTATAGAGGTTGGGTATGTTTGATTTGGTTTTGGAGAGTTGTGGTGTTATGAGAGGCTTTGTCTGGCGGGGGTGGGGGAGTTTGTGTTTGGGGATTGGCGGGGGTGGAGGTTGTATGTTGAGTTGAGGTGAATTACTTTTTTGCTTAGGGGGGGTTGTTGTGTGAGTGTGTATGCGTTTGCGTGGAAATGTAGTAAGGGGAGAGGGGGAGGGTTAGGGTAATTGATATAAGGTCAGGTATGGTTCGGTTGTCGGGAGGAGGGGGGAGGAGAGGAGAGGAGACAAGCGTACAGCCAGCGATGCTGGTAGATCTACTCCTCAGTGCGGACGCACACGTAGCAACGCTAGGACCAGAGTGCCAGGGATTCCTGGCCTCCTCTTCTGTGATTGGCTCTCACGCTACGCGCACCCCTAATCCTGATGTTTCTAAATTGTATAAATAAGGCCGTGGCTTGGAGAAATAGCATTAGCCACATCATATTTACAGCCAAAAAGGAACTACCTACCGGCCCCAGACTTGATAAAACTATTGAACTACAACTGCCCAACATATATAATAGGAGATCTGAACCCAAGACATCCAATATTCGGCCACGGAAACAGAAACAGGGTGGGCACTGCACTGCATACCATAATGAACACAGGGAAGCTGATCCACCTAGGACCACACTTCACCACATTCATTGGCATCAACAAAACAACAACCCAAGACAAAGTCTTCACCAATAACAAGGCATTCCTGAATTACCATATAAAACAAGGACTACTAACTACCAGTGACCACACTCCAATGATAATAAAACTATCTACAAGCCCAATCCACGTACCAACAACCCCACTCTTCCAAATGCAAAAAGCAGACTGGGAAGGCTACAGGAAGCAACTAGAACGAGTTAAGATCCCAGATCTCCAAGGCAAAATACTAGAAGATATAGACAACGAAACAGATACCCTTATACTTAACATCAAAAAGGCAATAGAGAACAACATACCAACCATAACATACCGAACGCTACCACACATCAGGATATCTCATGAATTGCGAATGGTCCAAGTACAATACAATAACATAATGATGTACATACAAAACTATCCACCAACAACAGAGCTTATTAGAAACTTAAGGCAAATACAACAAAAGTTAAGAGATGAAAGCCTGATAGCACACCAACAGATATGGAACGAACTAATAAACAACCTGGATACCACAAGAAATGACAAGAACTTCTGGCAAAACGTAAACAAAATGCTAGGAAACGACAAGCCTCAACAAAAATACATAAAGGACCAAAACGGGAAAAAACTCTTTGAAGAAAAAGAGATAGAAGCCGCATACAGAAAAGAATGGAAAAAAGTATTTCAAATATCAGAAGAAGAAAATGAGGAATTTGATGAGGAACACGAAAATCATATCTGCAGAGAAATGGCTGAAATGATACACAGGATAACCCCATACCATGTGGTGGACAAAACCAGGCTCAACCCGATAGAACCAATTACAGAAGGAGAACTGCTACACTACATCAGGCACACTAAAGAAAAAGCACCAGGATTTACAAAAATCACAAGAAATATGATCTTATACCTACCCAATAACTGCACACAAGGCATCCTTGAAATATTTAACTCAGCTTTGGCAAGTGGATACTTCATTAATGCATTTAAAAACGCAAAACTCATATTCATACCGAAACCAGCCAAAGATTACACCCAAGTAATAAACTACAGACCGATTTCCCTACTCGAAGTTATAGGAAAACTATTTGAAAAGGCAATAAACAAGAGAATCAGAAAACACAGAAGTGAAAACGGACTACTAAACCCCAGACAACATGGATTCACTGAAAAAAAGGGAACACATACTGCACTAGCCATAATCACGGAAACGTTAGCCAACAAGAAAGCAGAAAGAAACCAAGTCAACATTGTACTAAGAGACGGTAAGAAAGCATTCGATAAAGTATGGCACCTAGGACTAAAATTTAAACTGCTTCAATTAATTCTCCCAGAACCAATAGAAAAAATTGCCTGTGATTTCCTAGACGATCGCACGGCACAAATACAAATTGGCAGCTTTATAGGACCACCCATAAAACTGAAAAGTGGAGTACCCCAAGGCAGTGTTCTTTCACCCACGATGTACAATATCTACACAACAGACCTACCAGAACCATCTCCCTACAGTGAATACATAAGTTTTGCAGACGATATCACACAAATCATCACATACCCTGGCAAATCAACAGCAATAATGGCACAACATACTGCCAACGCAATAGAGAACATCAACCAGTACGAAAAAAAGTGGAAGATACAAACGAACACCAACAAGTTTAAAATAATCCCAATCGCTAAAAGGAAAAAAGACCCCATTATAGTAAACAACAAAGTGATTCCATATGCCATGGAAGGCACTGTCCTGGGGCTGAAGTTAACAACAAAAGGCTACAAAACATTCATCACCGAAAAACTTGTACAAACCAGAAACATGGTAACTAAATTAAAACGTTTCAGAAGCCTGTCAGCAAAAAATAAATTAAAGTTATATAGAGCCTATGTCCAATCCCGACTAGTATATCCGCCAATTCCCCTACATGCAATAAAACAAACAAACCTAAAGAAACTGCAGATAATTCAAAACTTAGCCCTAAGAGATGTATATAACATCAGATATCCTGACATAGTCACCAACCGTCAACTACACCAACGAGCCCAAATAGAACCTCTAAACATTTACCTACACAAACACTCAAAAAGAATATGGACAAAACTAGAAGAAATAGAATCAGGACCAATCAAAGAATGGATGGAAGAGACAGAAGACGGAAGAAGAGAACACTCGTGGTTCCCTAAAAGTAAAAGAAGAGCCCTAGAACCCACACCAACTCCACTCTATTAAAAGATGCAAGGTTACCCCAGTGACAACCTTGGCAGCCAAACCACACACAACATTAGATCATAAAAAGATAGGATGTTCTTGGCAGAAACACAAGTACCTGCCCTAGACTCCTCACCATTGGCTAGGACATAACACACGAAAATGAAGGCAAAATTGCAACACCTGACATAAATATAACACCTAAGACGAAATTTAGCTTAAACACAAACATGAGATAACAGAAGCACTTGGGTTGAGCCCCAAGACCTAGCATTCTACTACTATTTTCCAATTTCCTCGCTTTTCTTCTGCACTATCCACCAACCCCAAGTCCCTCCAAATTCCACCATTATTCTTCAAGTCCAGTTCCCGCACCACCAATCTACGCATCTGCATCAAGATTTCTTCACACTTTACTTCATCCATCGATCGATCGGGGAGGTTATTTTACACTCGGGTACCAGACCAGCAACATCTCTCAACAGCTCCTCACCACCCAGCTTCCTCAGAAAGCTCCTCGCCCTACAGGACCTCTGAGCAAGTTACTCCTCACCTAGTTACTCCTAAGCACTGCACTGTACAACAATATATATACAGAAAGCGCATTGTGAGTTTCTATTCTACCTCTTTCCTGAGTGTGAGATATCTACATGTATATACGTTTGTGTGCCCATACAAAGAGAAAATAGACAACTAAAGAGAATTGACAACTGGCCAAATACAGTGCGCTACAATATCACCACCCAGGAGAGGAGAAAATCACTGTATACTTGAGAAGTTTCGCTGACGCTACGTGGAGCAACTTCCTAATACCAGGCGTGGAACCAGTACTGGTATGATTACCTGGGAAGTGTCCCGTCTGCTCGTCAAGAGAAGTGTA